CGTCGATTCCTTGCCAGACTTTAAGTCGGCAAGCCAGGTCGGCCAGACTCTAAGTCAGTCGACGAGGCAGCGGCGGCTCTGGAAACAAATAACTGACTATAGTTTGGCAGAGTTGAACAGTCGCTTTTGGAATCTAGTGCTGCGTCGGCACCCACTGTCGCTGTGCCAATTGCAACAAGGAAAACCGCTCCCACTGCGCAAACCACGGTGACCACCGCTCCCGGTGCACTGGACCCTGTGGTGACCACGATTCCTGAACCAGCATCGGCTACCAAAGACGACCCTCCCCCTCGGGTGACACTCTTATCCTTGGCCGAATTCGACAACGATGAGATCGAAGCGATGAATCAAGAACTGGAATCACGCGATACAGCCTACCGCTTCTCCTATCTAGAGGGCGGGTACAGGCAATACCATGGTCGTCGCCCTGTGAAGGGGCTGCGCAGTCCAGCGGATGACCGCACTATGATGCAGGACGACGAAACTCTCCGCTGGGTCCCCATTCCGGCTGGATATACAGCTCCACACACCCCAGAAGATTACATCGAGGTGGTCAATGACTTTCGCAAACAAGATCGTCAATGTGTGGCTTATGCCCACCCTGAGGCTCGCAAGGCTTTCGATGAACTCAACCTCTCCTGCCATCCTGGTGACCCTGAGATCGAGCTTGAGTTCCTTTACAATATATCAAAAGAGGAAGAAGCAGTGCTGGTTGCAGGGCTCGAGCAAGATGAAGCCGCCTACAAGTTTAAAAGACCATGGGAGGAGGGCTTTATTCGTTACCAAGGCCAAAGCCCTTGAGAGGGTATCCAGAATGCTGCCGACAGACTCACCGAAATATGGGATGAGGAGAAAGAGAAATATGTATCCATTCCCGAAGGGTACACTGCCCCTCACGACCCTCAAGATTATATTGATGCCCTAAACTGGGAGATTGCAGAGGCTGAAACAACTTGCCGCGCTGAGCTTGCCAGTGCCGCTCAAAGGGCTAAGCGCAGGGGAGGTGAGG